CGAGAGATGAGAGAGAGGAGAGAGAGAGGAGAGAGAGAGAGAGCGAGAGAGGAGACAGAGACCGAGCCCCGGACCGAGGACTAAGAGACCGACGAGAGAGAAAGAGAAAGGCATGAAATAGCGAGAAAGGGAAAGAAGCGACAGAAATAGTTGAGAAAGAGAAGACAGATAGAAACAAACAAATCGAACGAAAGGGAAGAAAAAGACAAAAAAGAATGAATGGAGCAAGCGAACGCGAGACGGAGAGAGAGAGAGAGACCAGAGACAGAGACAGATACAGCAGACAGAGACAGAGACAGAGACAGATACAAGACAGAGACACAGAGACAGAGACAGAGACAGAGAACAGAGACAAGACAGAACAGAGACAGAGAGAGAGACAAGAGAAAGAGAGAGGAGAGAGAGAGAGAGAGAGAAGAGAGAGAGAGAGAGAGAGAGAGAGAAGAGAGAGCGAGAGACAGCTTCCCCCTATCCCCCACCCACCCCACCCACCCATCCCACCTCATATCAAAGCTAATTATCCCACCTAATTAAAGCTAGGGAATCACTTGGCACGGGTTCATTACAGCGGATCAAGACTGCAGATTGGAAGTATTAAGACGGGGTGGGAGGGCGGGTGTGGGGTGGGGGTTATTTTTTCATTTCTTTGGTCGTCTTTTCCTTCTGTGCGTTTTGTGCTTTTCCTTCTCATTCCACTTTCCTCCTCTTCCATCTCCTTTTTTCCCTCTTACTCCTCCTCTCTCCTCCTCCTCCGCTTCTATTTCCACTTCCTCGCTTACTTTCTCCTCCTCCTCCCTCCTCCTCTTCCTCCCCCTCCCTCTTTCCCTCCTCCTCCACCTCCCTCCTTCTTCTTTCCCTCCTCCTCCTCCTCTCTTCCTCCCCCTCCTCTTTCCCTCCTCCTCCACCTCCCTCCTTCCTCTTTCCCTCCTCTCCACCTCCTCCTCCCTCTTCCCTCCTCCTCCTCCTCCCTCCCCTTTCCCTCCTCCCTCTTTCCCTCTCCTTCCTCCTCCCCTCTTTTCCCTCCTCCTCCTCCTCCCCCCCCCTCTTCCCTCCTCCCCCTCTCTTCCTCCTCGTTCTTTTTCCTCTCCCATCATTTTTCATTTCCTTTCCCCCCCCCATTTATTTAATCTCTTCCCTTCCTCTTCTTTTCGGCTCACATCGGCCTATATCAATATGCAAATTATTAACGTGCGTCAACAGGGCGAAAGTGTGATGACTGACTGATGCTTTTGGAATTTTTGATTCGACTCGAGGGCAGAGGAAGTGATCGGGAGCAGGGATGCGTGTTGGATTGGATTTCAGTTTATATTTTTTTTTCTCTCTCTCTCTCTAATTTCTCTCTCTCTCTGTCTCTCTTTTTTCTCTCTCACATTCTCTCTCTTTGTCTCATTTTTTTTCTCATTCTCTCATTTTTTCTCATTCTCATTTTTTTCTCATTCTCTCTCTTCTCTCTTCTCTCTCCTTTTTCTCTCTCTTTCTTCTCATTCTCTTTCTTCCTCTTTCTCTCTCTCTCTCTCTCTCTCTCTCTCTTTCTCTCTCTCCTCTCTTCTCTTCTCCTCTCTCTCTCTCTCTTCTCTCTCTCTCTCTCTCTCTCTCTCTCTCTCTCTCTCTCTCTCTCTCTCTCTCTCTCTCTCTCTCTCTCTCTCTCTCTTCTCTCTCTCTCTCTCTCTTCTCTCTCTCTCTCCTCTCTCTCTCTCTCTCTCTCTCTCTCTCTCTCTCTCTCTCTCTCTCTCTCTCTCTCTCTCTCTCTCTCTCTCTCCTCTCTCTCTCTCTCTCTCTCTCTCTCTCTCTCTCTCTCTCTCTCTCTCTCTCTCTCTGTCTCTCTCTCTCTCTCTCTCTCTCTCTCTCTCTCCTCTCTCTCTCTCTCTCTCTCTCTCTCTCTCTCTCTCTCTCTCTCTCTCTCTCTCTCTCTCTCTCTCTCTCTCTCTCTCTCTCTCTCTCTCTCTCTCTCTCTCTCTCTCTCTCTCTCTCTCTCTCTCTCTCTCTCTCTCTCTCTCTCTCTCTCTCTCTCTCTCTCTCTCTCTCTTCCTTCCTTCTTTCCTGCCTTCAACCTTTCACTTTTATTTCTACCTTTCTTCTTCCTCTTCCTTAATCTTAAGCCTTCGTGACACCTGACATTTTTTCTTGTCTTTTTTTCTTTATTCGGAATTTCGTCTCCTTTTTCATCTCTCTTTTTTAAAAATCAGATTCTCCTATATTTTTATTTTATCTTCTCTCTCCTCTCTCTCTCTCTCTCTCTCTCTCTCTCTCTCTCTCTCTCTCTCTCTCTCTCTCTCTCTCTCTCTCTCTCTCTTGTCTGTCTGTCTCTCTCTCTCTCTCTCTCTGTCTGTCTGTCTCTCTCTCCCTACCTCTCTCTCCCTCTCTTCTCTCCCTACCTCCCTCTCCCTCTCTCTCTCCCTCCCCTC